GCTGTATTTCTCAATGTACCTGAAAGTACAGAAGTTTAGGTGCTACTGCAGCTCTTCAGATGTTTATAAAGTCACAGATTCCAAGACTGACAGTCTGATCCTGGATCTATTACCTAGTGAAGCAATGGTTTGGAACAGTTATGCCATCAGTAAAGTCTGAAATGTCTGAACTCTCATTCTGAAAACTTGTCTAAAGCCCCGTACACACGATGAGAATATCGGATGAATGATCATCCGTTTTTGCATGCTAGTCTCATATCAAAAGTGAAGTGAGGTTACTGAAGATACAAAAATTCTTGTACAATAGAAAAATTTAAAAGTGAAGTAATGTATTTGTATTGTATTTTCAGACGAAAACTGTACTGATTAAACGAAAATCGTACGAGAAAACTTTTTGTGCGTGTCCCTTCAAATAATTTTAGAAAAAGCTGTGTACTAGCGATCAGATTATCGTACGATCGCTTCAAAAGCGCTATTTTTCATACAATTTATTTATCGTGTGTTCTAGGCTTAAGACTTTCTGGATAGCAAAGCAAGGATAAAGATCTGCTCTGATACACATCTGCTCTTTTTTTTTTAAAGGCAGCTGCCATATTTTTTCTCATCACAGGCTCACTTACAGGAGTCATTATTTTGTGAAATGACATAACATGTACAAACCTAGATACAGTATAAGCACATATCCACTGGTAGACATTAGAGCATACACATTTTGCACAGATATATTTTATCATCTTATATCTGGTATGATATAGTATGGTATGTATATATACATAAAAGAGCTTGTTTGACTGAGTAGATGTTTCTTCTTCCTGATAGAATGAAGACAAATCAAAGAATGATTTGTGCTATGTATGCAGGAATTTATTGAGGAAATATTTTACTTTGTTAGTGATCAGCTTGTAAGAAGCTCTAACAAACTGTCTGTCTCATTCTTTTTATGATCTGTGTGCCTGTGACTAATACCTCTGTCCCTGAAGTCTATGACTTTGTTTCTTTTCTGTGTATGATTATACAATGTATTTAGGAAATGTGCCTGTATTATATTAGACTCTCATTCAATTTGAGCAAATTCCTTCAAATAGTATGCAGCACACGTTTGTAAAAAATCCTATTTTCAGAGCCATGTATATACATGTAGCATCCTCCCAGTTAAGCTAGAGGGAGCTATACTCCAATGGTAAGTCAGGAGCGGAGTAGCAGCTCAGGTGCAATAACCAGAGGGGTCAAATTGTGGTCAGGGCTGAGAGGCTCTGCAGGCCAGCCCCTCTGGAATTTCCCCCTGCTTTGTGACTCTCGTAGGAAGGCCTTAGAGGCAGTGGGTGGATCTGAGGAGTGTCTGGCTGCACTCTTAGGGGACCTTAGCCAATTCCCAACAAAAGGCTTGCCAAGGGGCTGGGACTCCCTTGAAAGTGTTGGAGCCTGCTTAGTAGCAGGGAAAGTGTGGAGGGAGTGTGGATTGTGAGAGAGAGGAAGATATGAGGCTGAGGAAGGAGGCTGCCAGGAAGCCTAGTGGGATGGGACCTGCCTGCGAGCCTGGAGCTGGAAAGAATGAAAGCTCAGAACTCACTGGGCCCCTGAGTGAGGACCACCTGTATGGCAGGGAAGGAACAGCCCAGCTGATAGGCCTGGTATCAGCTGCCAACCCACAAGCAGTACAGGAGAGGATCTGAGTGAGTACACCTGCACCCCTTGGGCAGATAGGGGAAGGAGAACTCTGGTGGGAAACTAGATTAGCCCCCTACTAGTGACTTTTCACCCATTTTAAAGTACAGGAGCCAGATCCCTTGCTCAGGAAAACCTCCAGATTGCTGGGTGAAGAGGAGTTCATCTAGGGTCTGGGGTGGTACATCAAGGAGTTGCTGGCTAGCTCTCCAAAAGACACTGTGTCACAGAAGAGAAGCTTTCTAATAGTTCCAGGAAGTTTGTCCTCAATTATCGATTCCCTTGGGCATCCTATACCCCCTTACCCTATCCCAGTTCTAAATCCCCTCTACAAACAACAAAATAAAAGCTCCATGACTGATTTCTGACTTTGAATGAAAGCTTGTGTGGAGAATGCAGATTGCCTGACTGTGTAAGACTGTAGGGGGACCCAAATCAACAGCAACCCCTGAGGGGGTAGTGCTACATACATTTAAGAACTGTTACAAAGCACACTGGGGGTTAAGTTCATGGGGTGCTCAAGTCAAACTGGGACTTTTAATTTACAGGTATAAAAAGGGATGCTAGGGTGGCGGTACTACATGCAGTAGTAACTGGCAAGTGTGTCCTATTACTGATAGGCAGCGCACATATCGTGGGCCAGTCTAAAGACCGTTAATCAAGATGGCAGACAACAGTGATAATGCATGCATGGAACAGTATGTGGTGTTGAAGTTTCTTGTGAATGAAGGGATAAAACCCACGGATAACTTCAGAAGACTGTAAGAACAGTACGGTGATGAGACGCTGAGCCACAGTAAGTCATTTGAATGGTGTAAACATTTCAAAGATGGCCGTCCGTCCGTCAATTCTCAACCCACAGCAGTCATTCCTGTGAACATTCAACATGTGGAACGCCGGATCCTGGATAAGCTTCGCATAACCTGTTGTGAAATTGCACAAGAGACAAATCCTTCTGTGGTCAGCATTTCAGCACTGATGATGAAGTGAAGCAGACTGTCCTAGGATGGTTGAGGCATACTGACAAATCTTTTTGTGCCAAAGTTTTCCAGGCTTTAGTTAAATGCTGGGATAAGTGTATACATGTAGCAGGGGAGTATGCAGAAAAATAAATGCAGTATCCACTTCTTGAAATTTGTTCTTTTATTATATAAACTCAAAAGTCCCAGTTTGACTTGAATGCCCTTCATATACTGCAGCTCTCTCCTCTCCTTGCATTCAAAGAACACAGAGGCAGCAGAGGGAGCCATTGGCTTCTGCCAATCAAGTCTTTTGAGGAGGGAGGCAGGGGTGGGGATGGGTCAATGGTTGCACAACACCCAGGAGTGAGCCTGCAGGTGTGCCACCATAGGAAGCGGCATCCTATGGTGGCCTATAGAAAAAATAAAAAAAAATAAACACAGTGTATCTAAACTCTTTAAACTGTATCATGATTGTAATCCTGAATTGCTGACCTTTTGGGGTATTGATAAGATTGACCAACATTGGAGAGGGATGGATATGGTAAAATAAGTTTCTAAAAAGGAAACGTTTTTGGATATATAACCTAGATATCCTTAGACCACAAGGGTTAAACATTGATATTGATCTCAATTGTTTCCTCACAGATTTCTAGATGTCATGATTTTTGGATTGTTAGCATATGTGTTGGGTTAGAGTATTTCATTAATACATTGGCCCTTCAAAAGATTGATAATACTAAAGTATATACTCCTTTGTGTATGGGAGTGGTTAATAATTATATTTTTACTAGAATGTATAAGTTAGAGTTTTTCTTTCATGTGATGGCCCCTTTAAAAAGAACATAATAGTGTATGGTACATTCCTTGTTTTTTGTAGGAGATACTATGATTCCCAAATATGGGGATACTTTCGAATCTTTTGTTAATATTGTTCATTTTATGAAAATATGTTTTTATGTTTTCGTATTAATAAGTATTGATGTGTTCCCACGCTGGTAAGTGGGTATAAATTGCTGTGTTGTGCATGTAGTGACGTTCATCCTTCTGCTCCGCGAAAACGTTGGATGATGAAACGCGTAGGGTGGAGCTTCGGACTAACGTCACTACATTCTGTAAGAGGCTGTCGTCTCGGCTTTCTGGTATTTTAAATGAAATGTGTTTGTTGCTAGCTAGTGTCGACTATGACACTGGTCCATGTGAGTGGATTATGATGAGTTTTTACAAATAAACGTGTCGTACAGTATCACACGATCATTTGCTTTGTTTTTCTTTTCTTTTCTGAGCCTGTGTATGAAGTTCTTGGAATTCGGTCTGGAAGTTTTCACTGCTGAATTTATAGATCTGCAGAGTATTGCTCCCAGAGAGGATAAATAAGTGTCTGGATATCTGAGTCTCCTTGATTTGCAATATACTACATCAACAAGCTGAGAGAGGAATAATTTGAAAAGCTGGTCATCGCTTAGTCTTCTTGCAGAGTATTGCTCCCAGAGCAAACAAGTGCAATTGCTGGTTTATAATTTAACTGGCAATTTGCTCTGGTGAGTTTATTCATTTCTGTTGGTGGTGGATTTCCACAAATCTATTTTTATGGTGATGGACATTTTTCACTGTTGATGGAAAGAAAAACATTTTTTAGAGACATTTTTTTGGTCATTAATTTGTTCACTGTTTTATTTATCACTGTTTGATTTAAATATTTTATTTTGATAGCGCTACCTTTTTCGTTTTATGATTGCAACCTTTATTTAGGGGTAAGGTTTAGCTGCTTGTGTTAATTGATTACATGTGAACACTTTTGGCACTATTTTCATTTATATTTTTTCTCACTGTGCTAGAGCTAACTCTTTTTGGTCAGTGAAGTTTCTACTTTCTGTTCCTATGGGGGGGGTTTTTTAACCTCCCTGGCGGTATGATTATTTCCAATTTTTGGTGCTGAAAGCGGTACCATTATTTTGCATGGAAATATGTAGTTTTTTTATTGTAGGCCTGTCATTTTTAGGAATAACTCACTGAAATCTGTCCGAACAAGAGTCTAGTAAACATTACGGATATGATAAAACTTGAAACACGAAATCATAAATTATAATTTAATAAATAATCATAAAAAATAATAATATAATATTAATAAATTTAATTCAATAATATAATCAAACCAAAAACACTGAAATTTGAAATATAGTGCCAAGTTCGCACATCGCTGAGCAAAGTCGCAAAATCGTTTTCAGTGTCTGATGACGAATTTCCCCACGAATCATTATCACTCAATTTTGCAAGGGGTTCTGATTTACTAACGCTGTTCTCTAGCCACTCTAAAATCACTTTTGACCTAAAAGGATGCTTTTTGGACGCCATGGACTTTTCTAAGTTTCCAGGCAGAAAGAACAGTCAAAATGCAAGCAGGGCACAGGACAAAGCACTAGGGACAAAATGTATGTGAAATGCTTTGAAACAGCAATGTTTTGCTATGTAATATTCATTTACAAAAAAATGACAGTTTTTAAAATTTTTAAATTTGCCGCCGGTTCCGGCCCCCGTACGTCCCGACGTCACAGGGACCGGGACACAGAAGCCGGATGCCGGCATCGGCCGGAGGAGATGGCCGGGGACGCTGCAGGAGGGACATCGCGGGAGCGAAGGACAAGGTAAGCGCTGCAGGGTATCCCTTACACTGGTAAGCCCGAGTGTAGATCGAGGTCCGCTTTTGATACTGAAATTTCACCCCCGAGCTACACCGGGGAGTACCACCAGGAGGTTAAAGCTCAAGCGATGAAATTTAGTGATTACTTTTCAGCACCAAGGACAGTACTTACATGAATGGTGAGTGTCCCATGTGCTAGCTGCTGCTCTGTTTCTTGAAGTCTTCCATCCTCTGCCTCCCAGATAACCCTGCAGCTGTGATATTTTGGTGCTGTGGGTTTTATTTCAAGGCCCTCCACCAGCCACAGGCTCTCAACAAAAGTGCTGCCTATGCCTGCCCTTTCCGCCCCTGTGCTCCATTCATACAAGCTGTATTACCAGTTTTGGCAATGAAAAGTATATATTTTATTCTGTAATTTGTCCTGTTTAAAATTACATCAAAATTATGATACTGGCAAAAAAAAGAAAGAAAGTTATTTACAAATTAAATAGTGTTTTCTTTCCCACTGTTGCCCTTTTCTAAATGACACTAAAAAAGTGAACAAAAGAAAAAAAAAAGATTCAATTTAATGGTTAATATAAAAAATAAATAACCAAAAATAGCAGGAAAATAATAGTTTAAGGGAGAAGGGGATGAAGGAGTGTATTAGGGCTGATTAAGGTAAGCTTTGGAATAACAAGGGGTAAAGTAAAGAAATTGTAGTTAAAAAAAAAAACTTTATTTGTTTACTTGTTAGGTTCCTTGAAATGACACCTGTTTATCAAAGCTCATCCCGTTGAATTGCAGATGAATGGAAGAAAGTAGTTAAAAAAGTAACAATGTTACTTTGCTTCCCTCTAGTTTGCTGAACTGGGAAGGGGGGTACAGCAACAGGGCAGAAAAATTGTGTGTAATCCACCCAACATGTGTACGTTGATGAAGTTTTGTTAGACATATGTAGCATGCCCAATATAAAACTGGAAAGCGCAAAATCTGGTGCAGCTCTGCAAAGAAACCAATCAGCTTCCAGGTTTTATTGTCAAAGCTTAATTGAACAAGCTGAATTTAGAAGCTGATTGCCTACCATGCACAACTGCTCCAGATTTTGCACTCTCCGGGTTTAGTAAATCAACCACAGTGGGTCAATTCACAAGTGTTTATTACATGTAATGTGTCACATGACCTATTTGCCTAAACAATCACATGTAATCATTTAAGAGCCAATTTAGGAATACAGATACACTGAATGTGAGATAACAAAGCTTTATTAAAAAAAATTAAACAAGAAAAAAAATATTTATCTAATGGTACAAGCATTCAATATTTTAGAAATGTAGAAAATAACAATCAGGGGAACTCTGCAATAGCCAGTAAATGAAAAAGAAGCAATGCATGAGTGTGAGAATGCAATGTTCTTAGCTCAGGAATGTGAATCATGTGTAACCATTGCACCGTGAATGAATGAAGGTTCACTAATACCTCATGTAAACAGTCTGAACAAACGCTGCTTTTAGAGGCATTTTCAAATTTTGTTATGCCTTTGAACACAGCATTGTTGCAGCCAATATGCCCATATGCATTGTGACATTTAGATTTGTATTTCACAGCAATGTTCACGGGCATTAAAAAAGCCCCAAACCTGTGTTCCTAGAGATGCTTACTTGCATAACATATACAGTTGTGTTCAAATTATAGCAGTCAGACATCACTAACCTGATCAATCACTGTTTTTTGCAGAAATGATATTTCTACATGGCAAATAATTTACTAGCGGGTGTAGTAGAGTAATAGAAATCCAACAGATCCAACAGTCATGACATGCATGCTGCTGATTCTGTGTAATTGAATCACTAATTGAAAGGGGCATGTTCAAAATAATAGCAGTGTGGAGTTCTATTAGTGAGGTCATTCATTCTTTGAAAAACAGGTGGCAATTATTGCCCTTATTTAAGGAAGGAAGGCAGCAAATGTTGTACATGCTGGTTACAGTGCATTTCTCTCTGAAATTCTGAGGAAAATGGGTCATTCCAGACATTGTTCAGAAGAACAGCATACCTTGATTAAAAAGTTGATTGGAGAGGGGAAAACATATAAAGAAGTGCAGAAAATGATAGGCTGCTCAGCTAAAATGATTGCAAATGCTTTAAAATGTTAACCAAAACCTGAAAGACGTAGAAGAAAGCGAAAAACTACTATTCGAATGGATAGAAGAATAGCCAAAATGGCAAGGACTCAGCCAACAATCAGCTCCAGGAAGATCAAAGAAGGTCTAAAATTACCTGTGAGTACTGTTACAATTAGAAGACGCCTATGTGAAGCCAAGCTATCTGCAAGAAGCCCCCACAAAGTCCCACTGTTGAAAAAAAAACGTGCTGAAGAGGTTACAATTTGCCAAAGAGCACACTGACTGGCCTAAAGAGAAATGGCACAAACATTTTGTGGACTGATGAAAGTAAGATTGTTCTTTTTGGGTCTAGTGGCCGAGACAGGTTGTCAGACGACCCCCAAACACTGAATTCAAGCCACAGTACACTGTGAAGACAGTGAAGCATGGTTGCGCAAGCATCATGATATGGGGATGTTTCTCATACTACGGTGTTGGGCCTATTTATCGCATACCAGGGTTCATGGATCAGTTTGAATACATCAGAATACTTGAAGAGGTCATGCTTCCTTATGCTGAAGAGGAAATGCCCTTGAAATGGGTGTTCCAACAAGACAACGACCCCAAACACACCAGTAAACGTGCAACATCTTGGTTCCAGACCAACAAGATTGACGTTATGGAGTGGCCAGCCCAATCCCCGGGATCTTAATCCAATAGAAAACTTGTGGGGTGGGTGACATCAATAATGCAGTTTCTGAGGCAAAACCAAGAAATAGAGAAAAACTGTGGAATGTAGTCCAATCATCCTGGGCTGGAATACCTGTTCACAGGTGCAGAAGTTGGTTGACTCCATGCAACACAGATGTACAGCAGTTCTCAGAAACAGTGATTATACAACTAAATATTAATTAAGTGATTCAAAGGAAAGCAAAATCTTCAAACATTTTTCAGTTTATATAGTGAATGTGAGTTTGTAAAGAAGAATACAAACACTGCTATTTTTTTGAACAGTCTAATATTCACTTTTCTTCAATTTTTTTAGAGGAACAACACAAATTTGATATATTTTTCTTCATGTTTTGATTTGGAATAGAATTTGTAGTGTTCCCAGTGCATTTGTGTGTATGGAAATAAAACCTATTAGAAGGATTTTGAGCTTTATTCACTTTTTTTCAACACAATGCTATTATTTTGAACACAACTGTATACACATGTAAGTGTGTGTAAGCGTAAATTGATTCCACTGGTTAGAATAGATGAACATTCTAGCCAATAGAATGTTTTTATGCTCATATGTTTCCAAATGCAATACACTAGTAAATGTAAACACATGTAGTTATGTGTAAAAAACAAACATTTTTAATTTTGGATTTTCCTGCCAGCTCCTGGTAGTGGTATTTTATTATGCAGCCCTATTGCAGCCCTAATTGATCTCACTCTGGTGCAGCATTATAGCCTGTGAAAAAAACTAGGATAAAACAAGGGAAAAAAAATTAAATCAAATGCTTAATATTACAAAATAGAAAAATGTGACTCATTTGTTAAATAAGGCATGCTTTTAGTGAATTGACTGCGATGAGATAAATACAACAATAATTATTTTAAGGCAAAAATTAATGTGGCATTTAACTCTTAGTAAATTGACCCCATTATATGCAATACTAAAGAAGGATTTTGTACAGCATCTGAAGATCTCATTACATAGTTATATAGTTAGTCTGGCTGAAAAAAGACAAAAGTCCATCTAGTCAAAAAAAAGAAGAAGAAAAGTTATATTCCTATACCCACAGTTGATCCAGAGGAAGGCAAAAAACCCAGCAAAGCATGATCCAATTTGCTCTTGCAGGGCAGGAAAAAATCCCTTCCTGATCTCACGAGAGGCAATCAGATATTCCCTGAATCAACTTTACCTATAAATGTTAGTATCCAGTTATATTCTGTGTATCCAAGAAAGAATCCAGGCCTTTTTTTGAAGCAATCCACTGAGCTGCCAAAACCAACTCTTGAGGGAGTCTTTTCCACATTTTCACAGCTCTAATTGTCCTTTGTCCTCTGTGATGACCTCAAGGTGAATAACTCTACACCGAGTTCACTATATGAAACACTGATGTATTTATACATGTTGATCATATCCCCCTTAATATCCTCTTTTCAAGAGAGAATAAATTCAGTTCCTCTAATCTTTCCTCATAGCTGAGATCCTCCATGCCTCTTATCAGATTGGTTGCCCTTCTCTGTACTTTCTCCAGGTCCCCAATATTCTTTTTGTAGACTGGTGCCCAAAACTGAACTGCATATTCCAGATGAAGTCTTATCGAGTTGATCCTGCTAGTAGCATATGCTTGTCTCAAAGATTAAGCCATGCACGTGTAAGTACACACGGCCGGTACAGTGAAACTGCGAATGGCTCATTAAATTGGTTATGGTTCCTTTGATCGCTCCATCTGTTACTTGGATAACTGTGGTAATTCTAGAGTTAATACATACTGACGAGCGCTGACCTCCAGGGATGCATGCATTTATCAGACCAAAACCAATCCGGGGGCCTGGGACCCCAGCTCCTCCCCGGCCGCTTTGGTGACTCTAAGTAACCTCGAGCGGATCGCATGTCCCCGTGATGGCGACAATACATTTGGATGTCTGCCTTATCAGCTTTTGATCACATTGATAACATGAATAATTTACATATATGTTGGTTAGTATCCCCTGGAGAATGAAGTAAGAGCTAAGGTGGTGAAGAAAAAATGAATGAAGAAAATAATGGAGAGACTGAGTTATAAATTAACCTCCCTGGCGGTATTCCCGAGTGTAGCTCAGGGTTAATTATCAGTGCCAAAAGCGGTAACCCCAAGCTACACTCAGGATTACCATGCAGCGTTGCTCTGGGATTCCCTTGATCACTTACCTTGCCCTGCGCTCCCACGATGTGTCCCCTGCAGTGTCCCCGGCCATCTCCTCCGGCCGATGCCGGCATCTGTCTCCGGGTTC